CTGACCCCACCCACTGAGTCCACCCACTGAGTCCACCCACTGACCTCACCCACTGAGTCCACCCACTGAGTCCAGCCACTGAGTCCACCCACTGAGTCCACACACTCCACCCACTCCACCCACTGAGTCCACCCACTGAGTCCACCCACTGAGTCCACCCACTGAGTCCACCCACTGACCTCACCCACTGAGTCCACCCACTGAGTCCAGCCACTGAGTCCACCCACTGAGTCCACACACTCCACCCACTCCACCCACTGAGTCCACCCACTGAGTCCACCCACTGAGTCCACCCACTGAGTCCACCCACTGACCTCACCCACTGAGTCCACCCACTGAGTCCACCCACTGACCCCACCCACTGAATCCATCCACTGACCCCACCCACTGAGTCCACCCACTGAGTCCACCCACTCCACCCACTCCACCCACTGAGTCCACCCACTGAGTCCACCCACTGAGTCCACCCACTGAGTCCACCCACTGAGTCCACCCACTGAGTCCACCAGCTGAGTCCAACCACTGTGTCCACCAATTGAGTCCACCCACTGATCCCACCCACTGATCCCGACCACTGAGTCCACCCACTGATCCCACCCACTGATCCCACCCACTGATCCCACCCACTGAGTCCACCCACTGAGTCCACCCACTGTGTCCACCAATTGAGTCCACCCACTGATCCCACCCACTGATCCCACCCACTGAGTCCACCCACTGTGTCCACCAATTGAGTCCACCCACTGATCCCACCCACTGATCCCACCCACTGATCCCACCCACTGAGTCCACCCACTGAGTCCACCCACTGAGTCCACCCACTCCACCCACTGAGTCCACCCACTGAGTCCACCCACTGAGTCCACCCACTGAGTCCACCCAATAAGCCCACCCACTGAGTCCACCAACTGAGTCCACCAACTGAGTCCACCCACTGAGTCCACCCACTGAGTCCACCTACTGAGTCCACCAACTGAGTCTACCCACTGAGTCCACCCACTGACCTCGCCCACTGAGTCCACCCACTGAGTCCACCCACTGAGTCCACCAACTGAGTCTACCCACTGAGTCCACCCACTCCACCCACTCCACCCACTGAGTCCATCCACTGAGTCCACCAATTGAGTCCACCCACTGATCCCACCCACTGATCCCACCCACTGAGTCCAACCATTGTGTCCACCAATTGAGTCCACCCACTGATCCCACCCACTGATCCCGACCACTGAGTCCACCCACTGATCCCACCCACTGATCCCACCCACTGATCCCACCCACTGAGTCCACCCACTGAGTCCACCCACTGTGTCCACCAATTGAGTCCACCCACTGATCCCACCCACTGATCCCACCCACTGAGTCCACCCACTGTGTCCACCAATTGAGTCCACCCACTGATCCCACCCACTGATCCCACCCACTGATCCCACCCACTGAGTCCACCCACTGAGTCCACCCACTGATCCCACCCACTGATCCCACCCACTGATCCCACCTACTGATCCCACCCACTGATCCCACCCACTGAGTCCACCCACTGAGTCCACCCACTGAGTCCTCCAATTGAGTCCACTCACTGAGTCCACCCACTGATCCCACCCACTGATCCCACCCACTGAGTCCACCCACTGAGTCCACCCACTGATCCAACCCACTGATCCCACCCACTGATCCCACCCACTGAGTCCACCCAATGAGTCCACCCACTGAGTACACCCACTGAGTCTACCCACTGAGTACACCCACTGAGTCCAACCACTGAGTCCACCCACTGATCCCACCCACTGATCCCACCCACTGATTCCACCCACTGAGTCCACCCACTGAGTCCACCCACTGAGTCCACCCACTCCACCCACTGAGTCAACCCACTGAGTCCACCCACTGAGTCCACCCACTGAGTCCACCCACTGAGTCCACCCACTGAGTCCACCCACTGAGTCCACCCACTCCACCCACTGAGTCCACCCACTGAGTCCACCCACTGAGTCCACCCACTGAGTCCACCCACTGAGTCCACCCACTGAGTCCACCCACTGACTTCACCCACTGAGTCCACCCACTGACCTCACCCACTGAGTCCATCCACTGACCCCACCCACTGAATCCATCCACTGACCCCACCCACTGAGTCCACCCACTGAGTCCACCCACTGACCTCACCCACTGAGTCCACCCACTGAGTCCAGCCACTGAGTCCACCCACTGAGTCCACACACTCCACCCACTCCACCCACTGAGTCCACCCACTGAGTCCACCCACTGAGTCCACCCACTGAGTCCACCCACTGAGTCCACCCACTGAGTCCACCCACTGACCCCACCCACTGATCCCACCCACTGAATCCATCCACTGACCCCACCCACTGAGTCCACCCACTGAGTCCGCCCACTGACTCCACCCACTCTACCCACCCCACCCACTGAATCCATCCACTGACCCCACCCACTGAGTCCACCTACTGAGTCCACCCACTCTACCCACTCCACCCACTGAGTCCACCCACTGAGTCCACCCACTGAGTCCACCCACTCCACCCACTGAGTCCACCCACTGAGTCCACCCACTGAGTCCACCCACTGAGTCCACCCACTGAGTCCACCCGCTGAGTCCACCAGCTGAGTCCACCCACTGAGTCCACCCACTGAGTCCACCCACTGAGTCCACCCACTGAGTCCACCCACTCCACCCACTCCACCCACTGAGTCCACCCACTGAGTCCACCAGCTGAGTCCACCCACTGAGTCCACCCACTGAGTCCACCCACTGAGTCCACCCACTGAGTCCACCCACTAAGCCCACCCACTGAGTCCACCAACTGAGTCCACCAACTGAGTCTACCCACTGAGTCCACCCACTGACCTCGCCCACTGAGTCCACCCACTGAGTCCACCCACTGACCTCACCCACTGAGTCCACCCACTGAGTCTACCCACTGAGTCCACCCACTTCACCCACTTCACCCACTGAGTCCACCCACTGAGTCCACCAACTGAGTCCACCCACTGAGTCCACCCACTGAGTCCACCAACTGAGTCTACCCACTGAGTCCACCCACTCCACCCACTCCACCCACTGAGTCCACCCACTGAGTCCACCAATTGAGTCCACCCACTGATCCCACCCACTGATCCCACCCACTGATCCCACCCACTGATCCCACCCACTGAGTCCACCCACTGAGTCCACCCACTGATCCCACCCACTGATCCCACCCACTGAGTCCACCCACTGTGTCCACCAATTGAGTCCACCCACTGATCCCACCCACTGATCCCACCCACTGATCCCACCCACTGAGTCCACCCACTGAGTCCACCCACTGATCCCACCCACTGATCCCACCCACTGATCCCACCTACTGATCCCACCCACTGATCCCACCCACTGAGTCCACCCACTGATCCCACCCACTGATCCCACCCACTGAGTCCACCCACTGAGTCCACCCACTGAGTCCTCCAATTGAGTCCACCCACTGAGTCCACCCACTGAGTCCACCCACTAAGTCCACCCACTGAGTCCACTCACTGAGTCCACCCACTGATCCCACCCACTGATCCCACCTACTGATCCCACCCACTGAGTCCACCCACTGATCCAACCCACTGATCCCACCCACTGATCCCACCCACTGAGTCCACCCACTGAGTCCACCCACTGAGTCCACCCACTGAGTCCACCCACTCCACCCACTGAGTCCACCCACTGAGTCCACCCACTGAGTCCACCCACTGAGTCCACCCACTGAGTCAACCCACTGAGTCCACCCACTGAGTCCACCCAGCTTTGACTTACGGGAAAGTAAAGGCAGCTGGTTACTTTGGACAAACAACTTTCACCAATACCTTCCCTTCTTTTGTTTACTACAGGGACAATGACTAGTATAGTTTCCCAACCATTCCAACTATAGACGGAGAGTGCTTAACGTCATTAACTAACGCGAATAAGTATATAAAAATAAGAAGGGTTGATTGATAATTCAAACCCATTGACAGCAGTGGTTGATACGCGTGTGCTATCAATATAATTGTGTAGTAACCAACTTAAGAAATTATTATCGAGCATAGATGATAGGAAAATATATCGCATTCATACTTAAGTGACGTAACACTGATTTAAATTGTAAAAATATATTTTGTGTTCTGTAGTAGAAAGTAAATCAATATCATTTTATGCGAAGACACATACAAATTATCATCAGATAATATTGACTTGTACGATAGAGCAATCATATTAGGGTAAAATAAACCAAAACAATTCACCATAGGTTATAGACTAACCATGTTTGCTGGGCGATCATCTTGTTATTACATAAGCTTTAGGATAACATGACTTAGTTTGCTTTAATGTCAATCTTTGTTTCTTTTTGTAATTTAATTTAAATATCATACAACAACGTTTAAATGGATTTATTTTTTGGTAAAGAATTATAGTTTATGGAGACTGGAATACGAATAAATATTGGTTTAGTCCTTTTTAAACTAAGCTAAAATTCGTAATGAATATTTTATGTCTATTAAAAAAAAATAAACCCTCTCCAACTTATTTCTTGCCCCGCACCCCACCCAACATCTCACTCCCACTCCCACTCCCACACACAAACACATTCACTCTTTCCCCAGCACGCTTGTCATACAATGGTAAGTTTATACTTATGTTTGAGTTTATTGCAGGTTTGAAATGGTAATTCAGAAGTTTTAGCAGGCTATAAATTGAACGGGTACATTATAATTTACATCGGACTTTGTTGCTAATAGTCCTTATACGGGTCTTTAAAACAGTATAAGAACGTTAGTGATAAGACTAACTTCACAAACAATGACTATAGCTATGGATAGTGCACGTATTTTTACTAATTATGTAATGTCAATGGTTGCAAATATGTGGTGTGCGCTCATGTCAGAACATGGCATTTACTAATTCTCTTTTTGTTATTTAAGTAATTAACGATAGTGTCGTTCTCCTATGATAAGGTTTTACATTGTAAAAAATACCACAATTTTATGTTTACCAGAACACTCAGACAAACTCGTGGAATACAACAACACTATTTATAGAAGATACAGCCGAGTAATTTTTAATTTAGTGTACTAGCACGGGAAACGACAATCTATAGTGAGAGATATCATAAACCCGATATTAATCTCCTTAAATCAAGTAAGTCAAACACGGAAGTTCATTCATTATAAGAATTACATTAACTTGTAATGTACACAATCTGATTCATTACATTCTCGCTAATGCATACTTTATAATCGAAGCTTCAAATAAGTCACCTATCTTATTTAATAATATTAAATAGAAAACCAGTTACACATTCTTAATTACTTCTCTAATCACATACCATTGCAGAATGCCAATTCTGGTTGAAAGACGATGTCAGGAAAACATTTAAAGAAATGATGCTACAATTGGAGGACACAACTAGTTCAACACTAGAACAAATGTCTTCATTGTTAGCTACTTGAGTGTGCAGTTATTATTTTTCATGTTTTCTTTTAATATAAACCGGTAAATTACCTGTAAACTTCAATTAAGTACTAATGATTTCTTAAATACTAATACATCAGTACGTCGGTTTTCATGGTGAAGTAGAACACATAATCATTACCAACTCTATATGTTAATAAAACGTTTTTAATTTATTAATATAAATCAGGTGGTAGGTATTTATAACAAAAATGTGTTGATATGTAAAAATTGTTGTAAAAAATAATAGAAATAATTTGACTCAACATGACATGACTAAAATTAAAGTAAGTAAAACATTATTATCATAGATTATTGTAACGTAATAATTATGTACCTTTATATCAGGTGCCCACCTTTATGGATCAAAGATTTCAGGACAGACAGAAGCCAACATTTCCTCCATCTATACAACAATTATCAGCACAAATGTTGTAGCTTCAATAGAGCCGTCACAACAAGACCACAGAGGACAAAACATGCAGCAAGTTTGGTGAGTGATATTTGATACATGAGCAATCTAAACATTTTCGATTACATTTTTTAAGTTTTTACCATGTTTTAGTTTGTGTTTTATGTTTTCTACATAACATGTAAATACCTTTAATATGCCACCAATAAGGCACCAATGTGCATACATTTATTCTCTTGAAAAAACGTTTGTATATATTGTATACATAGATAAATGTATTGAGTTTTAAAACTTAGAAAAATATTTTAACGCTTATATATTACAATTAAAGTTAAAACGCATTGGTAAAATTATAATTTGAAGTTATTACAAGCGATAAAATCAATGATTTTCTATTTCTTATATTTTAATACATTTATAAAGATTATTTTATATTTTGTATCCAGTTATAGTCTCTGCTAAACAAGCTAGACGTCACTGACATGACTACTGGTTCACTAGAAAGAAAATATCTCCAGGAAGAGGAAAACATCAACACATTCTATGATAAACTCACACGTTTTGGTGGCAAGCTAAAATCTCAAGGAGAGAAATAAAACATCAAGATAGACGAATAGATGAGTTAGAGAAAAACATGGAACTGTTAAGAAGAAATCTAAAACAAAAAGAAGAATGGAGAAGACAACAGTCTCATAACTTAAATCAAATGATGACATCAATACAAGAAAAAAAATCAAGTTCTGGTAACAGGTAACGCCTTGAAGAGTTAGATGTGGTCATTAGAGATCTGGTCAAGAAAACAGATAAGTGTGCCAATTCAGTCAAAGAAATGTCAGTACGTTTAGTTAAAGCTGAGAGGAAAATATTAAATGAAGATGCAAATGTAACTATTTTACTTTTCAAAAAATACATATACGTTTCATCAGCTTTATAAATAGTTAAATGACTAAATATCAAATTAGTCACAGATTTTAACACCTTTATTTCTGTATTATGCAACTTCAGTTATTAAATTTAAATAATTCAATTTTGAAAATAATAGACTGCTACTAAAACGGCATAACTCATTGTTCCCTTACATAAAAACCTTCAGCTGGAGTTAGGTAAAAAAGATTAAACAGTATAGAATTAATATAGTGATGCAGTTAAGTAACATATTCTCTAACCAATTGTAAAAGAAAATATTTTACTAATTATCATCAAAAGTAAACATTTACATATAGATAAAAAAAAGTAAGCTTTTAATCAGATAATAGAAGCCATAGATCAGGAACACCAAAATAAAACCCTTATAAAATTAAAGACAACCACAGTTCAGTAACAACTAAATTAATCTCATTATATTTGTACAGAGTGGAGCAATGTGTCAAATACTAGCAAAAAGATTTTCACAATTTGAGTCTTTACATAATGTCTTCAATCAACTGATGAAAGAAAGAGAAGGAAACTTTGATCAAGTATGTGAAATATTAATTTTAGTTCATTTCTTCGAGTATACTAAGTTCAAACATGACTTAATATTGTGTTGCTTTATTGCAATTTAGTGGCTATTCTGGTCTGTATTCGATAAAATTGACCTATATTATTGAAAATGTAGCGTTAACAATAAGAAAGACAATTCATTTTAAATATAAATGTTTTTCTTGATTCAGTTGTTTTATACCCCTTCTTTAGCTAAAATATTGTTTATAGTCTCAGTATAATATATTAATTGTTTAGCTTCTATAGATTGTAAGACTACATAATTCAAGTTAACATAATGTAAACGAAAAGTGTTTCATTAAGTAGAAAACAAGTCTGGCTATTAGGTTGTTTGAACACTGGTTAATTGTAAAAATAAAAACACAGTTTTAACAGAAATGAGTCGTTTTGCTAACATGTGTCAAAGATTTCATGAATAATTGTCGATTTAAATAGTTATTGAAAGTTTTGTTCCCTTTATTGTAAGTGGTTTTTAAACTTGTGCTATACAATCTTTATTTTTACAAATGTGCAAACGCAGAGGCGTAGCGACCCTTCCCGGCGCCCGGGGACAAACTTTTCGATTTGCGCCCCTCCCCTTCGAGATTTTGATTTGCACCCCCCTCAAACTTTCGATTTGCTCCCCCCCTGGATATTTCCATTTGCACCCCCACCCCCCCCCTCAAACTTTCGATTTGCACCCCCCCTCGAGATTTCCATTTGCACCCCCCCTCAAACTTTCGATTTGCACCCCCCTCAACCTTTCTATTTATTTTTCCAACCCATTTTGGCGCCCCCTAAGGTCGGCGCCCGGGGACATATGTCCCCCCCCCGCCCCCCCCCCCCCTCGCTACGCTACTGTGCAAACGTTTTGTATTTTTTACAAATGTGTAAACGTTTGGAATTTTTTTCAAGTGGAGTAGTTGGAATTTCAATTTCCCCATCCTTTTTATTTAAGGGAGTTTTTTTTTTATTTTTCCTTTTTTCTCTGTTTCTCTTTTTTTTTTAATTGTAGAGCTGCCGATGGAGTACGAGGAAATCTGCAGTTCTCGAGCTGGTTAGTCAAGCTAAAGTTTTTTTTTTTGACAATGAAATATCTAAACAAGATGCTTTTTATTTCTTTAATAAATAAATTGAGTATTGAGGAGTTTGTCTCTACAAATGCTATTTATGTTTGTTAACAATGTTTAAAGACGATAATTACAAAACAAAATTACTTAAGGATTGACCAAGATTGTTTTCCCTAAATAGTATAATAGTGTGATGTACTCATCTCGCTGGCTTGTGTTTATTTAAGACTTGCATTTTATGTGATTACGAAAACGTAATGTCCTTTAAATATTAAAACGACAGAAAATATATGGCTTTTTGGAAATTGTTTTACTCTAAATGTAAAATTCAAATCACGATGTAGGTAAAAGAGACTGGATAAGACCCCACACAATATTAAAATATAAACCACGAATAACAACTTTATATGTAATTTTTAGTGCAAAATAAATTCTACTAAAATAATGTACAAGAAACACAAAACAACTACTCATCATAGAATCGTTTTTATTTCTATAAATAATGCTTTAAATTGTATTGAAAAACATTCAAATACCTGTCTTCGACCAGGACGTTGTCATTTGTCTGATTTGCGATTAACGCTTTAACTAACAAAAATCTAAATAAACTTTTAGAAGATACAATTTTTAAAATGATAATTAAATTCATACTTATATCAAAGCCACACTTAATCAAAACAACACATTTAATCCTTAAAAAATATATCTAAATTTCATTTCACTGAACGATGCCGTGTACCTGGGTAGCCAGTTGATACCCATGTCTTCTAGACCCCACATACCGTTCAGGTTAGAGCTGTAGCAAGCTTTGTACCACCATGCCCCACCGTGTTTGGGAGCGCACTTTAGGATGTACATGTCATTGTCTCGGTCAAACGTTGTGAACTTCATTCCATTGTGGTCTACTAGACCGTCTGTTGCATTTCCTGTGTAGCCACTAACATGTAGCCTGTAGCTGTCTGCCTCGCTAGATATGTTGAAGATGGAAAATAGGGCGAAATAGTTTGTTCCATTGAAGATCAAATCAACACTCAATTGTGTTTGACGTTTGGAAGAAAACAAATAATTATTTTCGTTGCCAGGTAAAAATTACCTGAACTGAAATCACCAAACACATTTTTGTATTCAGCTCAGTTCCTGTAAAAATCTACAGTCCCAGAAACACGTCTTTGGAAAATGGTCCATTCTCCACCGTCTATCATTGTGTCACACATGACTTGAAGTCCAGAGGTTAGGTTCAATAAAGGTCGGGGGTTAATACTTTTCACTCCATAACAAGGATCAAATGTGACTGCTGAATTAAATTTTAACACAAATCATTGTTTTTAAACAACGCAACAAATAGAGAAACACACACACACACACACACACACATATATATATATATATATATATATATATATATATATATATATATATATTTCGTTATTAATCCATATAAATGTATGTAAAAAGTCATAGCCGCTATATATATAACATTAATAAAAGGTGTACATGCACATTGCTTACAGTTTATTTCCTGTAGTATCACAATACAGGGGCGTTGCTATCGTATAGCTAGCGTAAGCAAGGCAGCGAGCCCCAAACCACTTAGATGCCTTTTTTCTTTTTTTGAAAAATTATAACTTGTATATTGGAGTTTTAAATTTTGTTTTATGTAAATAATTTCAAAAACAAAATTTTCTGCTGTTGAAAAATATTTTAATTTGGAACCCAAATCATCCTAGATGTAGAGGTGGATGGAAGCGAAAGGTTATAATTTCGCTACATAGTCCCACCCGTATTAGTAAAACTACAGGAATTATCTGGCATGCCATTGAGTGAGTTAGGGTATAAAATAAGGACTAGCTAGACGCCACTTGACATGCATGTGTGTGGTCGTGGTAATGTTGTATAATGATAAGCTGTAACTTGAATTTTGACCCGTCTGTAGAATCCGGCAGCGGTAGATGCATAGGCATCGTCACAAACCTCAACTGACCGGACAATTCCTTAGTGCAACCGCGCCACACACACATGTACCCTATCTAATGGCGAACAGCAGTAGAATACGACTGGGCGCCTCGAGTTTCCCATCAGCTACTGGAGCACATGAGATCCATTGATTTAGTGGCCAGCATAGGGGGTCAGTGGTACAACTTGATTCGTCTGTCAAACTACAACAGGGACTGCCTGCGGCGGTCGAATAACTTGGCTCCCTAATGAGCACTACGGTGTCTACATTCGTTTTAAAGAGTACCCTACCAATGGGACACGAGAGTACTGTAGTGTAATCGATGTTTCTAGAGAGCGTCCCGCTAAGTACTTGTCATTAAACTACTAGCATTGTTTCAAAACAATGTGTTATCTGATAATTAGCAGTTAGTTAGAATTGATCAATTATTTGAAAAAGAATGAATTTAACTCACCACATATACACATCAACTGCACAAGGGACCTAACCAAGAGCGTAACATTCACAAAAAAGACCAGTTAAGCTATCTGAGATAGTTTTGGAAAATCTGGTAGTTAAAGAAGATTAATTAGATAAATGTGATAATGTTACTGACAAAAGGAGTTCGTTGAAAACAATCAGTAGCTGTGCATAATCAGCTAGTTGAACAATATCATTACGTTTAAAATGATCATTGGCTGACAGGAATCAATTTGATTTAAAGATCAGTGAACTTAAAAAAAAAATGTGAGGGATAAGTTTATGTACGCACAATTTTGAAAAAAAAAAAACAGATTTTACTAGACTACCCGTCATCCGTTGGATAACTGTGGGTTTCGGGGGTCATCCATCAAAAAACATCACAAGATTTCGATTAGCAACCCCCCACCTCAAACTTTTGTTGTGCATCCCCCCCTCAAAATGTCGATTTGCACCCCCCCCCCTCAAAATTTCGATTTGCACCCCCTCAACCTTTCAATTTATTTTTCCAACCCATTTTGGCGCCCCCTAAGGTCGGCGCCCGGGGATATATGTCCCCCCCCTTCCCCCCCCCCCCCACGCTACGCTACTGTAGTGTCACTTATCGTCACAAAAAAACAGACCCCACATTCAAAAATGTTTTCTATCTTTTGAAAAAAACCGAAAACACCGATTTCGGACTATCCCTTCATATACTGAAGTCACAGGTGACCTACTCAACTCTACTTCACCTGCCCAGTGTCCCGCCAAGTCTCAGACAACATGTTTTTATCGTTTAAAAAACGATTTCAGCCGAGCATGTCTCTGACCACACTATTCCTTCATAATAATATGCTTAGGACAAAGAAACAGATGAACTCTACTTCACCTGCCCGGTATCCCGCCAAGTTCAGATAGGCAACTTTATCATTCACATCTAAAAATTAAAATAAAAATTGAAAAAAAAGTTATCAATGACGTATTGGTCTAGAACCTGTGCCACCCACATGAGAGCCGATTACAGTAACAACTTAGCTATTTACTCGTGACGTTACAGATGAATTTTTATACTATACATTAATACTTTGAGTCTCCTTATGCAACTTGATTTACGCGCATAGATATAGATCTAAGTCTAGTAGTAGTAACTTTCAAATTAAATTTTATCTTAAATTAGCCAAACAAAGATTTATATAAAATAAAGAAGGTCTGAAATTATCTAGATCTAGATAGAATTATCTAGATCTAGATTCTTCGACTCGTTTGCTGAAGTCTAGAATCTATTATTTGCGTAACTCTTGCTAGATCTAGATCTAGATCTAGAATCTAGAAATTCTAGATCTAGAATCTAGATCTAGATAGATAAATCACAAAAATTTATATCAAGTATTTAAGGACTAAAAAATGTATTATGATTATAATATGGATTGTATTTTTTTTTAATTTAATCTTTGGTATGTATCTAATTAATCTTTTGTTTGACCTAGATTCTAGATCTAGATCTATAAATAACTTGCTTGGCCTCGTGATATTTTTGGATCTATAAATACATTTCTTGCACAGATTGTAGATCTAGAGCAATTTATCGTAAAACTAAATGAAAAAGACAGTTGAAAATTGATTTTAAGTGTTGGTACGTAATAAATACAGCAAACGGACGTATTGTTAAAGTTATGGCCGACAGAAAATTATATTTAGAACGCGTTAAACTTTCGAATGGGCCTATGATGGAAGCCACCATTTTATTGTACAAAAAGTAAACAAAAAATTGTGACGTCACGGTTCCGTCGAGTCTAGTGGTTTTTCTAATCTTTTTTTAAAAAATGTGGTTAATCTACCTATGAATAAATCAATAATTTACAGCTCTCTAGATAGAGTAGAACCATTTACAATAGTCAATCAGAAAAATAAATATTCATGTAAACAAACTTGAGTTTTAGTAGTATATAGATATACATCTAAACAAAGACCAACAGCTAATTATCTGCTGAAGTATAATCGATTTATTATTTAACATATGGATATAGCACGCTATTTGGACCCTACACTTAAAAAAAGAGAATATTGGAACTATAGTTGTTGCAGTAAAACAAGGGTAGGCCTATGTCACCTAAACCTACTGAATTAATGTGTATTTAATTGTTTGTCACCTTTTATACGTCTAACTTTTAAGATGTTAATGCCTGTAATTATCGCACTACGTATTACGCCTATTAAAGAACGCACATTCTTAAGTTTGTTATAATAGGTGATATACAAGCTGTGTTTTTTTTTGCATTTTGCTGTAGGTATCATGGTCAATATTTCGTTCTTTAAGGTTTACTTGATTTGCAAATGATTTATCTATACAAGCAAATTATAGAATAACTACTTTAAATAAATTGCATAAAATATGACACATTGGCCGTTTTTTTATTAACTGTGCCACCTTTAACTTTATTTAAGCAACACGTACGGACATGATTTGTTAGATGTTATAAAAGCAAAAATGAACTATACTTTACTATTTACCAAATGCCTCCAGAAAAAGAAACAATTTAGTTCAAATGTTTGATTAACACACATTGTATTAAACCAGAGAAAAACAATACACAACTATAGTCCTCACAGCTTTAACCACAGGTGCTCTTAACATAGGGTGTTCCA